TTGAGTAATGGAAAGTGTAAGATTGGTGTTTTGACTCTTATCGTCCTTCATCATCACCCTGTGGTTTCCATTAGTTCCATCGTTGGGATTGACCCTCGTTGACCCTACTGTCAGTTGCGGTCTGTTTATTACCCACTGACAGGACTGCTGGTCATAACACTATCAATGTAGAAACAGTGTGGAGAAAACCCAGACATTTCACCTGCGTAGATACATCGTACTCAAGAGTAACCCCTCACAGAGGCATATGATACGCTCTTATATCTGTCCTACACACTCCCACACTCTCACTGAGATTCTGGAGGCACTGTTTCAGTAATCCCAGATAGCAAGAGCTCAACTCACTCGTCTTAAAGACTGGTATCAGATCAAATGTAGGTGATCCTGTATTTGTAGCCTAAAATACTGTCTTTTTCTCATGAATTGTGTCTCAGGATTGCTGCCAGAACGTTGGTTGAAAGTCTTGTTTGGGATAATTGAGATGTTTTTAAAAGAAATCTATTATGCTCACCAAGGCTGACAACTGTAATATTGTGAAAGATTATAACAGTTTAAAATAACAGTTTTCTATTTAAATATATTTTAAAATGTAATTTATTCCTGTGATTGGAAAGCTGAATTTTCAGCATCGTTACAACAGTCTTCAGGTTCACATGATCCTTCAGAAATCATTGTAAAATGCTGATTTGGTGCTCTGTTATTAATAACAGTTTTTACTGCTTAATATTTTTGTGGAAACCATGATACTTTTTTGGCTGCTGAAACTGCAGCATTGCCATGACAGGAAATTAAATATCATTACAATGTAACAATTTATTGTTACAATTCTAATTAACAGAAAACTGTTATTTTGTAAACTAATAATATTTCACAACAATACTCTTTTTGCTGTATTTTTGATCAAATAAATGCAGCCTTGGTGAAAATAAATGACTTCTTTCAAGTACATAATTATTCCATACTTTTGACTGGTAGTGAAAAGTTTGTGAAAATGCCAAAGTTAACTCCAATAAGTTTGTACTGACTCAGTTTATCCAGCTTTGTCTAAAAGTAAAATCTTTTGTTTGAAGGGGCAGTTTTGTTGCCCAGGAGTGTTATGTTTTAAGGGCATTAATAAAGGTGTAAATTGTTCCTTAATTGCAGTTTGGGCATTAATAAAGTTGTATTATATTGTATTGTACTAATTTCTTTGAATAGGACGTGCACACCCTCAGTCTACCACCCCCTCCCCAGCTGTGTGCGGGACCTCTCTGGGCCCCTAGCTCTCCCCATGATAGTGTCCTATTCAGGGGTAACTGAACAGGCCCATCAGCCCAACGGGAGGGGGGCAGGGAAGATGGGGATTGGGGGGCTCCTTTATGGAGCTAAGTCACAACTAACCCCTTCTATTGAGGTGAGGAGAGAGACTGTGAATATAAAAATGCACACAATGAATGAAAGACAGACAGAAGAAAGGAAGAAGGAGTCTGAGAGAACTGGACAGAGGCCGAACAAGGTCAGCGGGCATTTATGTGTCTGACTCGAACGCATTCCTCATGACACACATTATTAGATGTCATTATAGTGTACCAATAGAACTGTATCAAGTTTTTTGAGGACTAAATACTCAAGAGTGTGAATTATCGAAGCTGGAGTGCCACTTTTTTTTCTCATTTAAGGATAAAGAGTTTTTGAATAATTGCAAACACTCTGTATTTATGAGCTGCATTTGAGCTCATCTGCTGGAGAATGTGTTCATTTTTGTTATTTGTTTTGGCTTAAGAAAGACTAGCTGCTAATGGTGCAACGTATCCGTGATAAAGTGAAGGATTCATGGGTAGTGAGGGGAGGCCGGGTTAGAGGTTGGATTAGAGAAGGGAGTTGAAAAATCGTGGCAGTGCCAGTTGCAGATGTTATACATAATAAGCAGATGAGAAAAGGAGCGGAGAATGACGGTGGGGCCATCTTTGCAATCTCAAGATACGCACTCTTTCCCTTACACATCTCCCTTATAAATATTAGACACTCTCACGTTAAGCAGGGAATTACTTTACTTCTAGGTGCCACATTAAGACTAAAAGAAATCAGAATTGGAGTTTTGTGGCTTTTAGGCCATGAATAGTTCCTAATAGTTTGAGGCCATGATGCTTAGTTGGGTCAAAATAAATTTTTAGCTGATAAAAATATACTCAAAAAAATCTGTTGTTTTGAGTTTTCTATTCATCAAAGTATGCTGAAAAAAGGTTGTTTTACACAAAAAATATTACGTGGCAAAACCTGTTTTTAGCACTGATAATATTTAAGAACCATTATTAATAATTGAGCACCAAATCAGCATATTAGAATGATTTCTGAAGGATCATGTGACACTGAAAACTGGAGTGATGATGCTGAAAATTCAGCTTTATCACAGGAATACATTTAATTGCAAAATACATTCAAATAAAAATCAGTTGTTTTAAATTGTAATAATATTTGACAATATTATTGTTTTTTTCTCTCTCTTAGTATTGTTGATCGAATAAATGCAGCCTTAGTAAGCATGAGAGACTTCTTTAAAAAAACATTAAGAAATATAACTGAACACAAACTTTTGAGCTTGAGGTTTGTGAGGTTTGTTTCCAGATTAAAAAAACATTTTAAAAGTATTTATGTCATTAAATACACCATCTATTTCAATTAGATTTCTTTTTCATTATTATTATTGTGGTATAAAATTACTCATACCGTGATTTAGGAATTATTTTGATCACCAGATTTTAGTTCATAGCTGTAATGCAAACTAAACTGGCTATTTGAAATGAGCTTGAAGAGAGCAAGAGGAACGGAGCAGAGGAAAGAGGAAATAAGTGCCACACCTTCCCTGGGAACAGGGATGTTGACAGAATACTTTCCTACTCATTGTTCTGCACTTTCCCAAGCCTTGTGTAAGATGGCCCTGTCAGGCCGCATCCAAACCAGAGCACTGCCAAAGAAAACTTAATGTTGAGGCTTTCTTGACAGTAGAGGATGGAGGAAACCTCGTGCAACAAGAAGCCCTCAAAACTCAGGTTTATCAACACAGGGAGCCTTTATAAATGCTCTGAGGTAAACAACATGAAGACAGGCCTAAATTTGATCAATACTTAAATTCAGAAAAGCTGAGATTACAACATCCTCATTTTTTGCACTACAAGAAAGCAATTTCAAACAATTAATCAGACCTTTTAGAAAAGGCTGACTGAGACAGAGCAGAGTCAAAAGTGCTTGTGGTGCTTTTTACAAGGTTGGCTAAACAAAACATGAGCGCTTTTCTAATGACTGTCAGGCTGATGTCTGGACAGGCAGGTGCACCGCACTGATAATTAAAGAAAAACAGTCCTCCCTCACATCCCTCTTGAGTCTGAGACGCTTTGTGTCACTGTTTGTAGTTTCAGCAAAGCAGCTCACAGAAATGTTGAGTGGCACAGATGCTGCACTTAACAGATCTCTTTACAGGATTTTTTTACGCATACACAACATGCGGTCATATAAAAACAAAAAATAAAAAAATAAAATAAAACATTATGGCAATGTTACTTTTAAATGTTCTCTGAATGTTCTGAAACAAGTAGTAACATTTAAAATAATAATAATAATGATAGATGTCCAACTAAAAAGTTTCTGAAATAAAACGTTCCATGGACAATAACGCATGTTATATATTAACATTACTGGAAGAATGTTTGTTCATAGCTTTGAGAGAACTTTGCCAGAACATTATCCCCAAAGTTCTGAAAACGTTCCTTGTTAGCTGGGAAGTGTTTCTTTCCCCTTACACCAGGCACGGCTCGCAGAGTCCCACCAAAATATGCATCCACAACATCCACCTCTATATAAACTGAAACAATAATACATTTTAAATGTGTTCAGCAGATTTTCGATACTATTTTAAGTCGTAAAGTAAGCAGTATATATTAAAATGCCCCGCGTGGCTTTAGCAGGCATGTATACATGATACTAAGCGGGGCAGACGGTGCCTGAGACCTCCCGAGCTCAACAAAGCCCCACAATTTTGCAATGTACATCTGTGGTGAAAAGGGGAACTGCAACACGCTTTAATTGAGAGCCATTGGGGCAGTTTTGAGACTGCCCCGCTTATTTTCACGTTACCTTACGTGAACCTCGCTCCATCAAGCCGATATCAATCCGCTTCAGCTATGTGTCTGCAACAGGTCAGTAACTAGTTGGCATGTCTGTTTTTTTTTCGGTGTGGAGCAGTGGATCAAATTAACAAAGTATAAATCCTTCAGTTTAAATGTGCTCACATGAATAGCCTTTATATGGTTATATTGTGTTTGTTTTATTATTATTCTGAGAATAGACATATGATCGTCTTTCGTTTTCATGGAATTGCTCCACAACTTGTAACATTCTAAATCAACATTTGGAAATGCTATATTAATGCAATTATAATACAGCATTTTATGCGTGTTCTCCGAGCCTGTCAATCAACATTAGTGCTCCACCCACAGGACATCTCTGCCAAAATTTTGTCCGCATGTGTTCAGAGATAAGAATATAAAGTTTACCAAATGTTTTTCTTATATTAGTGCTACGACCCAGAATCGGCCCCACCTAAATTTACGGTCAGGAGCCGCTACTGCCTTACACAGCTCAATATCTGATACAATATTGCTTATTTTTTGACCCATTAATAAATTTAAACAATCGCCACTTCTAAGTGAATTAAATGTTAAATTGGACCTGAAGGCTATTCCTGCTAGAGAAACTTACTGAATAAGTAGCCTAGTTCACATCACACCTAACGGTTTAAATGGTTATCGTTGTGAATTATGTCAGAACGCTGAAAGAATTTACATATTTAAACAAGTTCTGAAATCAAAAACAGTTTATATTCAAATGAGGTGTTTGAATTATCAACCTGAGCAAAGTTAGCTATATATCGCGTTAGATTGACGCCACTTATTATTAATTATGAGAAATGTTTACGTTTAATTAACATCTAAGTAGCATGCTAACGCATATGAACGCAAACTCACCTAATACAAGGAGTGTCCATGAGATTGCCATTTTCAGTCGGTCAGTTGGATGCTCGCTGCTCGTTCAGTGGCTTCAGGAAAAGTTTTGCATGAAAATGTGGAGACGCCGATCGGTTCCGCTTATCGTCTTGAGTTTGTATCTGAACTTTTTTTTAATCTTAAAGCCAAGAGGAGTGCTTTTGTTTGAGCTGCTTCTTCTCTGAGTCTCTACCCCACCCTGAGGGTCCGGGGATTTGGGGGGCAGAGTTTTGCTGGGTTTCCTTGGCTGCGCGGATTGTGATGTATTGAATGCGCGGAGTCGTCTGGAGTGGCGTGCTGTGCGGCGGATCTCAGGGCAGGTCTGAGATGCAGCAGCTCACGCAGGGGGACCCAACAGAGAGGGCTGGGCAGACACAGGACTAGCCCATCAATACTACTGTGTATGTCTTACATCATGCATGTCACTGCAGTATTAATTCCTGATCTTAAAATCAACATCCTGAGCTTTTCTGTGTTTCGTAATATTTAATGGTGTGCCCGATATATTATTACCCTTTTAATAATAATAATAATAATAATGTTTATAATATAATTACGTTTATAATACTTATGATAAAATAAATAATACCATTATTATTATTATTATTATAGTAAAATAATAATATGACACATAATATATATTTTTACAAATTGTATATTATATTAATAATATAATTTTAATAATAATATATGAATTGTATAAATGTGATATAATAATATAAGAGTTATTAATATAATATATTTTTGTTCATGGGCTAGATCCATGAAGACCCATGAATAATATTGTCTACTTTAGTCATGTCTGAAATCATGCATGTCACTGTTTTAAGTCTTGATGTATCATTAAATCAACATCCTTTGTTTCATTAAATCAACTTTTCTGTGTTTCAAAATATTTAATGGTCTTACTAACATCATAATAATAATAATTATTATTATTATATACAGGCGCGGCTCGTCTATTTGGGCAGGTGTTATAAAAACCAAAATATGCATCCACAACATAGACCTCTATATAAACTGAAACAATAATAAATTGTAAATGTGTTCAGCATTCTGCAACAAATATTTTTCAAATTTTCGATACTATTTTAAAGAGCAGGTCATATGGGTTTTCGAAAAATATCTCTTTTGCAGTTTGCAAGGTAGCTATCCTTCAATGTAAACAGTCTGCAAAGTTGTTAATCAAAAAAAGTGCATGATAAATAAAGATATTGTCTCTCAAAAGAAAGAGTCGACTCAGAATCGCCTTAGTGAGTCGTCATATTTTCGCATCTTCTGCCTGTTACCGATCCACGTCACTGGGTAACACATTAGCATAATCCCCGCCTGCCCGCGAAATAGGAACACTCTCTGTGTCGAGAAGATGCTGTGTTCCACGATACCACAGCAATACAATTCAAACCTTTTGTTGTGCTAGTTATTTTACTGAGGACTGCTTCTCTAATCTTGCCTTTTATCTTCGTTGGCTTCTAATCTTCTTTATTTGGACCAACAAGTGTCTCCGAACCACAACCTGTAAGTATGATTGATACGTTACGTGTACATTTTCAACTGAGTGCTCAAAATATCTAGTTTTTTTTTTGTTGTGCTAATTATGTGATGTATACCTAGTGCAGCTTTAGGTTTCCAGGTAAAGCACAATATTACTGTTTTACAGTACTTTATAATCATTGTGAAAGTGCTGTTTATGTAGTTATAGGGTTAATGCAGAGTAAAAGACCCGGTAGAGAGAGACGAGTTAGTTAGGCTGGTGCGCTGTTCTGCGTTATAATTAATGGAACTATTTTTGAAAATAGGCTAATTTTCCAACACCCCTAGAGTTAAACAGTTGAGTTTTACAGTTTTCAAATCCGTTCAGCCGATCTCCGGGTCTGGCGGTAGCACTTTTAGCTGTAGCTTAGCATAGATCATTGAATCTAATTAGACCATTAGCATCATGCTAAAAAATGACCAAAGAGTTTCGATATTTTTCCTATTTAAACTTTGCTGCCGTACCATAGGTGCAGCAGGTGCAATGATATTACGCAGCGCCTGAAAATAGGTTTATTGGAAGTTACCTAGCTGGGGACTATTTTCAGGCACTGCGTAATATCATTGTGCCTGCTGCACCTATGGTACGGCAGCAAAGTTCCTTGATTATTACGCCGGAATGAGAGTATAGTTCCTAGCCATATCGGCCTAGAAAATCGCAACTTTTCATTTTCCGTCGGTCTTACTACACAATGTAACTACAGAAGTCAAGTTTTAAAGCTACAGCTAAAAGTGCTGATTTGAAAATGGTAAAACTCAACTGTTTAACTGTAGGGGAGTTGGAAAATTAGCCTATTTTCAAAAATAGTGGAGTGTTAAGGTTAAGACGGAGCATCTTTTGTCTGTCATTCTTCAGACATTACAGTAGACATATTTTGGTTTTCAAACTGTGTTTCATCAGTTAGTCACGTTAGCACTCGGCTAACGTATCCACCATTATTGTTTTGTTAAGTGTTTACAGTTTAGTAGCTAAACTTTAGCTGTGGGAACGATTCGCTTGCATAAGTGTTAAACAAAATGTTTTATGTCATTATTTTAAGAACTGATTGGAGCACTATATTATTGTTTTATGTAAAGGTGCATGCTAGGGTTGCCAGGTTGTCACAACAAAACTCGCCCAATTGCTACTCAAAACTAGCCCAGTCGTGTTTCGAGGGTGGTCCCCCCTTTAAAAATTGCGTTCTGGGGTGTAAAATACACACTTTCAGTCGGGGTTCCCCTGGTAAATGTGCATTCCAGTAATAATAATAATAATAATAATAATGCATTTTATTTATTATGCGCTTTTCTTAACCCAAAGCGCTACAACTGCAAGCTTAGGTGACAACAACAAGCATGGGTTTTTTAACCCATAGCACAACCACAAGCATAATAAAATAACAGCGATAAACACAATAAAACAGTATAAACATATTCAGATACAGTAAGCAACTTTAAAAAGATAAGTCTTTAAAAATTTCTTAAAGCAGTTCAATGTTGGAGAATCTCTAATTCCGGCTGGTAGAGCATTCCACAGTCGTGGAGCTGAGACAGAGAAAGCTCTACGACCCATAGTTTTTAATTTATATGCAGGCTGCTGAAGGATACACAACCCAGCTGAGCGCAAAGGGCGAGCGGGAGTATAAGGAGCAACTAAACTGGATATATAGGAAGGGGCTGTCCGATGAATAGCTTTATAAGTTAAGATCAGGATTTTAAAATCAATACGGGCTTGAATAGGAAGCCAATGCAAGTTTTGCAGTACCGGAGTAATATGTTGACGGGCAGTTGTATACGTTAGTACCCGAGCAGCTGAATTCTGAATATATTGTAATTTCTTAATAGACTTATCAGGGAGACCAACATAAAGTGCATTGCAGTAATCAAGCCTCGATGTAATAAAGGCATGGATGAGCCTTTCTGCATCAGGCAATGATAGAAAAGGACGGAGTCTTGCAATGTTTCTTAAATGAAAAAATGCAGTTTTTGAAATAATTTTGATATGGGCATCAAACAATAATTGAGGGTCAAAAATAACGCCAAGATTTCGTACTTGGGTGGATAGAGTATCGAAGCCACAATCAGTAATCACTTTAGAACTATTTAATTTATGTAAAGCCGCTGGCATACCGATACACAAAAGTTCTGTTTTTGACTCATTAAGCATGAGAAAATTCATGTGCAACCAGGCTTTTATCTCGCCCAAGCAAGCAGTAAGTGTTGTAACTGCAAGATTAGGATTAGGGTGTGTGCTGAGATAGATCTGAGTATCATCGGCATAAAAATGAAACCCTAACCCAAACTTGCGAATGATCTGGCCCAGAGGCAACATATAAATACTAAACAGGATAGGCCCAAGTACAGATCCCTGCGGAACTCCCTGCTGCACTAATGTTGGTTCAGACTGACATTTACCCAAACAGATAAATTGAAAACGATTTGTAGGATAAGATTTAAACCATTCGAGTGCAATACCAAAGATGCCTAACCATGTATGCAATCTTTCAAGAAGGACAGCATGAGATATTGTGTCAAAAGCAGCAGTAATATCTAACAGGAGTAAAATACTACAAGCCCCCATGTCAGCAAAAATAAGAAGATCATTTATAACCAGGACTAGAGCAGTCGCAGTGCTATGACCTGATCTAAATCCAGATTGAAAGGGTTCTAGGATATTGTTTATGGACAGGTATTGTTGTAACTGGCCGGCAACAACTCGTTCAAGAACCTTAGCCAAAAATGGAAGATGAGCGATAGGCCTGTAGTTTGACAAATCCTCCACATTAGAACCAGTCTTTTTAAGAACTGGTGTAATGGCAGCTAGCTTGAGGACTGAGGAAACCTTTCCAGTAGATAGAGAGGTGTTAATGATTGCAGTAATAGAGGGACCCAGGAATGTTGCACACTGTTTCAATACCGCAATAGGCATAGGATCAAGAAGGCACGTAGATGGATTCATAGACATGACCAGTTTCAAAATATCATCTGAACCAACAATTTCAAAATTTGAAAAATTAAATGACAAATTTGTAGGGTGGAACTCATTGGTCAGCAGTGAAGAACCAGCAAGCATGGAATTGTGGATATCTTGAACTTTCTCAGTAAAATACTTATGAAATTTGTCGCACAACTCAACAGAAGGACTTAGATGCATTTAAACCTGTTGTAGGGGACTCCAACACAATATTAGGACACTTTAAAAAAACATATGACCTGCTCTTTAAGTCGTAAAGTAAGCAGTATATATTAAAGGGGTCATATGATGTTGCTAAAAAGAACATTATTTTGTGTATTTGGTGTAATGAAATGTTTACGCAGTTTAAGGTTCAAAAAACATTATTTTCCACATACTGTACATTATTGTTTCTCCTTTATCCCCCATCTTTCTGAAACACATCGATTTTTAGAAAGCTCATCGGTCTGAAAAGCGAGGTGTGCTCTGATTGGCCAGCTATCCAGTGCGTTGTGATTGACCGAATGCCTCAAGCGTGTGACGGAAATGTTACGCCCCTTACCATATTGTGATGCCATGTCCTGGCCGGAGCGAATAGACAAAAACATTAAAACCCATTATAAACGAGGCATTTGTTGCATCCAGTGGGGACATAATTATGGATTATTATGATTTATACTGTCTTTTTATGCGTTGCATTGCATTGTGCCGCGTAAACATAAAACCATGTCTGCATTTGTGATCAGAGAAATGACAAACAACAAGCGCTACTCTACACTGCTCAAAACTCGTGTTTGAATCATCAGTGGCAAATCCTTTAAATATGAAAAATGTACTTACAGTCTGTGAATCAGAACAGCCGGCATTGTAGTCTACTCTCCCAGGAT